CTTGTAGTAAGAGGCATCAAAAAAGAAGTCTGCCTACTCAACTACACCCTTTCTCTGCGTATCTGTTAGGCTTCTCTGATAGTAAGCAGTAGAAGGAAACATGTGCTAATTCAATTTAAAAAGAATGCATTGGAAAGATGCTGAGTAGTTGATAGAATCACAGAAAAAGCTGACTAAGCAGGCTATGGGAACCAGGGGAACCATGAAAATCTTAGCCATCAACCTGCGAGCTGTCTTGTTTGGGGTCTTGCCAGCAGATGTCCCAGCTCTGTGTCTCTCCACTCAAAATTCTAATTTCCAGAAGACTCTCAACAGTCTTCGTTCATGTTCCTATCTCTCAGCCAAATGGGGTACTGGGACATCTTGACCCATCAGGACCCCAAGGGAAAATCTGAGTTCTCAGCAGGGAATGAGGAAAAGATGCTGGGAAAGTGTAAACAGCACACGCCTACTACATTCTATGAGGATCCCCTCGGATACAACTAGAACTATAACATTGTTTCTCTTTTGGCTGGTGTAGGAGCACTGCATGGAGGGATAGTGTCCTATCTGCAGGTGGAAACCTGCGTCTTTGAGATGTCGATGAGATACAACCAACTTTCAGGGGGAATCCTTGATTGACCCTGTAGTGAAACCTAAGTTTCTTGGCTTTTCTTTAGAACTTTGGAACTGATTCTCTAACCGGGTGCTAATCCATCTTAGTTTTTTGAGACTCAGATGGGAAAATTTTTATTTTGAGGCTTGCCATGGCTAGCCCAGTGACAGGATGGTGCATTTCAAGGGGTGAGCCGTTGGCTGGTGGCCCTGTGATTCCTGAGTGGGGCTAAATTAAATAGGACACTTCTTGAGATAAGAAAATGGACCCAAGTCTCTTCAAAGGCAGTTTTGTGTGTAATGCCAGATTTTCGCTTTGGCTCATGATTTACAACTAGAACTATGCGACTAACCTTGCTTCCTTTTTTGCTTCGACTGCCAGGATATCTTGAATTATAGCAATTGGTGCCCTTTTCTCCAAGACTGATTAGTTAAAACAACACAAAAACAGAAACAAAAATAAAATATACGAGGAAGATCAAACGAGTTCAGAGTATGTTTCCTACTGGTTACTTAGCTATTGGTCGTCCCCAAACATATGCTAGGTCTGCCTATTTCATCATCTTGCACCTCTTAGAGGAGTCTGGGATGACATCACCAAGAAGGGGACATTTGAGGTGGGTCCCAAAGGGTTATGAGTAGCCCTTTAACAGGCAGAGGAAAGGGGAAGGGTATTCCAGGGAGAGGAAATAACACACGCAAAGCCCAAAGGAATGAAAAATGGTGACATTCTGGGCAGATGGTCAATAGCCTCACATAGAGCAAAGGCAGGGCACAAAACTGAATGGGAAATCAGGGGAGGAAACTGGAAAGGGCCTTGAATAACTACATGAAGGGGCTTAAGACTTAATCCTATAGGTAATGGGGAACCCAAAGAATGTCTGAATTAGGCATTGATGACATTCATTCATTCATTTAAGAAAAGCTTACTACATCCTTTTAGGTCCTGGTGGTACAATTCTGGAAAGGACCCAGTCTCGGATGGGCGGGGTGGACTGGTAGGGAGGCAGGGAGGAAGTGACTCATCTCCTTCCCCTTGATAGCTCTGCTTTTTGGACTCAGCTCCAGGTCCACAGGTGCTAGGGGAAAGGAGAAAGGATTCCTCAGTTTCAGAAAGCCCCGCGGGCAACCTGGGGTGAGGGTGGGACTTTGTGCCCTGGCAACTCTTTCTGCAAAATGAGGAGAAACCCTTCCTCTACAAAAAACCCTTATGACTACAGTGTTGGGGCAAAGACTTCTGGACCCGGAGTGGCTTGATGTCTGCAAACCCAGGGGGCACCCACTGAGAAAAGGTGTGGTATGAAGGTAGCGTTTATCTGCTGAATTTACATTCCCACTCTATTTGGAGCGATAACCCCAGATATGAATGATACAGGCCACTGATGGTTACTGTGCATGCCACGCCCCGATCCCCTCTAGCTTATCACTGCACTGTACTGCCAAGACTCAGCCCCCACATCACTTCGCTGAAGTCATCTTCTGCAGCCAGTGTGCACAAGCTCCAAGTGCCAGAGAACCAACGCCCTCCAAGCAGTAGCCCTCAACCAAGGACTGGCTGGTGGACAGGCACGCCAGCTCACTCACCCTCTGGCTGCAATGACTCTGAGGTGTGTGTTCTACACGGGCTCCCAGAGTGGCCCAGGGGGATTAAGCCCCAGGTGCCCACAGTGGTAACTTGCTTGGTATCACGCCCGTCATTGGCTACCTGCCCTCCTGTCTCACCTCTACTTCCCTCCAAGTGTTTCCTGGGATCCTCTCCCAGATAAGCCGCCTCCAGGGGAATCCTGATCTGCCTCTGGATGGGTCTACATTGAGAGGACGTGCCACACAGGTAGTTTAGAGGAAGAATCTTGTCATTTGCATTTACGCCCTGGCTCACTTCATCTCGGGAGGGAACGAGCTGCCAGGGCGCCTGGCACCCAACCTCTCTCCACTTCCACTTTCTGGTGTCACCTGCATCCCTTGATACTCGTCAAAGCCACCCGCCCCCCTCTGGCCCTGGAGCCTGAGGAAGGGAGACATCACATCAGAGGATGAGCTCAGGAAGGGTCTGCTTAAAATAGGCAAGACTGACGGCAAAGGAATCCGTGGCTCATCCTTTTCAGACATTTCCTTGTAAACAGCAATGAGCACCTTCCCCCCTCTTTTTTTTGGCAGTCTAATCACTTCGAGCTCCCCTCTGGTGGGTACTTTTTTAAGAGCATAATAGAAGGTGTGATATCTTGTGAAAGGCTCCAGGATCACTTGGAGAGCGGCAGCTCTGGGACTGCAAGAGGAGGTGGCAGTTTCCCGGGAATATTAAAGATTAACACCAAATACTTTGTTGCTATTTAACTCTCTGACGATTCATGTTGCTGGAGCGGAAACAGAACATTTCTTTCCCTCCCTTCTGTTTACGCCTTCCCTTCTCTGTTCTGGGGATTCAGAAGCTGCGGATGTCAGATGCCAACTCCTTAAGGGCTGAAATGGTTTTATATAATAACAGAGAGGGGGAGCCTACAAAATGAAGAAAGAATCTAATTCAGCGCTTGGACTGAAAGGGGGAACTGGAAGCGAGGAGGGGGAAGCGTTCTTAAAAATAGCTCACTCAGAGAGAAGAATGGGGCTTGTCTCCCAGCGGCAGGCAGGCGCAACCCTTGGGTGAATTACGGAGCCTTCTGTGGGCCTGTGCGTTTGCTTTTGAAATGTTGATCATGGCGAAAAGGAGGTGGGTGGAGGGAAGGCTGGTGCCTGACGCTGGGAGCAGCCTTCGGCGATGGATGAGCTGTCAGGCCCAGGTCCACCGCCTACACAGGCAGCGTGCCACCTGGATGCTCACACCCTGTGTCCTCCTGCTGGTTATCTGTGCAGCTCCTGGCCCTGAAACTCCAAGCCTTCCCAGAGGGGTACACAGGTCTCTACAGGAGGCTGGGGAAGGGGCCCCAGGAGATTGGGAGGAGGTGGAGAGAAGGGAGAGACAGGAGATGATGATGAGCACCTCAGAGACTCGGTGGCAGAGAGACAGAGAGAGAGAGGACGCAAGTGGGGACAGACGCCCACAGAGAGGGGCAGAGAGAAGCCAGACAGACATAGAGACAGAGGGGAAGAGGAGGACCAGTGTTGGGGTCATTGCTGGGTAACAAGAAAGAAAGGGATGAAGCTGCCCTCCTCCCCTCACTGCAGGCTGCAAAGATGCTTCCTTCCTCTGCCCCAGCCCCTCGCTGTGTTTGCAAGAGGAGCCGTGATGGATTTAGTTTTGTGGTCATCTTTACCTCCAATGGACAACTCCTAGGAAGAGAATGCAAATCCTACAATTACTGCAGGGTTTCACTCCAGCCCCCCAGCTCGGCCAGTGGTCAACCAATGCCTTAGCTTCCGTGCCTGGGGCATTGAGGGGTCTCTGGGTCTGCCCTCTTCCCTCTCTGGGAAGTTTCTCTTTGACTGATGACAGGTTCAAGTCCCTCATCTCTAGCCCCCTCAGGTCCCCCCAGGCTGGAGAGTGCTTCCCTCTTCCCTGGCCGAGATACCTGAGAAGGGAGGGGAGCAGACAGACCTGGTGACCAGCAGCATCTTCCAAATCGTAACCCATAAGGGGGAGAGCAAGGAAGAGACCAAGAGCTCTGCCCTGCGTGCCCGGTGTCTGGCACGGCTCCACCGTGCGGTCACCCTGCCTGTGCCCCTCCGCGCTCACCATTCCCATACCTGCTGCCACTTCTGACTGCACGCGTGCATGTCACTCTCTGCCTCAGGACTCTGACCACAGCATGTTTAGCTTTGGGAGCAGACCTAAATCCAAGACTGTGATAATCGCTCTGCCTTCCTCACCCCGGATGACACCACTGAGGCACGTCAACAGTGTCCCAGAGAGCTCCAGGTGCCCACAGCAGTGCCCTGGCTGTCGACACCCCTGTGGTCGCGTGTCTTTTCTTGCCTGTCCCACATCCCCTACTACTCACCTGCAGCTTTCCATCCGGGCCGGCATCTCAGGTGAGCCACGTGTCCTCCAGCTCTGACCCTCGAGGTGGGGGGTGGTGCAGGGCTGCCTCACCACTGGGGAAAGCGTCACAGTTCGGTCACCTCTGGGCTGCCCTGAGACCACCCAGGGAACTTGCTGGAGACAAAGTGCATCTCTACGGCTGCGGGCAGGAGCGGCCTTCATTAGTAAACAACAGAGAAACAAGAAAATAGTGGGAAAAGAATAAGCACCGTAATTTCTGTACTTTGACAGACATACTTTGAGAAGTAACAACCCAAATGAAATCAAATGCCCTTGAAGCAAACCCTGAACCTGGAGTGAGTGGACCCGGCCTGCCTCAGCCCCTCTCAAACACTGGTCGCCAATGGTCATCTGTGAGGCGGGTGCGGGCAGCAGAAACGTGCAGTGGCTGCTGCCGCCTCCGTCTTTCATGACCCGGGGGGAGAAAAATCCTCCTAAGAGAGGGGCCGGGCGTGTGGGCAGAGTCTGGTCGCTGGAGCAGGCAGGCTGGAGTTGAGTCCCTGCTCCACCATGTCCTGGCTGTGTTACTCTGAGCCAAAGGTTTAACCTCTCTGAGCCTCAGTTTCCCCACCTGTCAGATGGGGGCCATAACACCTCTGGAAATTGTCGTGAAGTTTGGAAGCGACTTAATGCACGTCTTGCAGCCAGCAGCAAGTAGAGCTCCCGCTGCCGTCTCTTGGTCCTCCTCAGAGGGAGACACGCCCTCCGCCTGCCAGAGGGCAGGTTGAGGGTGAAAGGAAGTGTGTCCGGCCACTCTGTCAGGCATCGAGACGGCTGGACAGCACGGCTCCCCACATGCAGTCAGTCTGCTTCCGTGGGCGTGGGAAAGAGACGCAAAGGCTGGCGGGCATCAGACATGAGTTAGACATGCCATTTCACGCTGCCGACACATTTCAAAAGTGCACATCACAAGGCTCTCGCGGAAGCCCTGGCGGCCGGCCAGGGTCGAACCGCAAAAGGAAGCTGTCTCCCCGCTGGGGCAGCCGGTGGCCAGGTGTGGCCAGGGCACCACGTCACTGCAGAGCATGGGGCCTCTGCTGGGATTTCCTGCCCTCCCAGCTGCTCTTTCTCCCGTGGGCCCAGCTGCAAACATCTCAGGTGACAACGCCCTGGCCAGCGAGGAAAGTCAGCATTCACCTGACCCCTCCCTGTGTCCCCCAGGAAGGCCGAGGCAGCAATGTTTACATGGGGCCTCTGAATGTGGCCCCGCAGCCTCCCTGACACCCACCTCGGCTCTTCCTCCCCTCTGAGGACCAAGGAGGGGCTTCTTTCATCCACAGTTGGTAAGAGTCGCTTTCTGGCTGCGGCGTCAAGGTCCAAAAGAAAAGGCAGCCACAGGTTGAGAGGTAGCAGGAGGTGTGTGACGCGGTTGGCCTAAGTCAGGCCTCACTCCCGGCAGACAATCTGCAAATATTTATTGAGGGTCTGTTCTGTACCAGCTCTGTGCCCAGGCCTGCGGGGCAGACAGAGATGCCCTGTGTGAGACAAGGAGCTTATGTTCCCACTGGGAAGACCACACTGACACACGGAAACCAGGGGTCCTGTTGACCCCTGAGTTATGCTTTTAATACTCTGAGGTGTGGGAAGGGGCAGACCAAATACAGAGACACTGATCCTACTCTCAGTGATCTGGCACCTTCTCTGAACCCCGAGGAGGCTGAAGACTCCCCTCCACGTAGTACTAAATACACTAAGTTCTCAGATGGGCCACTTGTGGTCTCTGGCCTCCCTCCTTACTCTCATTGGTTTCTTTACTCCCCATCTTCAGCCCCATGTAAGTTTTATCCCTTCAAACTAAGCATGAAAACATCCATAAGATGTTTGCATTTGTCAATTAGCCCTTGTAAATATTTTGCAAGGGAGGTCCTGCTATTTCCATCTGGCCGAGGAGGCAACTGAGGCTGGAAGAGGTTGTTGAAGTGCCCCGCAACATACAGAGAACTGAGCTTCTGTCCTCTGTGATCTCTGACTCTTTGGGTCCCTGCAGAAGGAGGGGGACTGGTTTAGTGTGGAAAAGATGCTGGCAGACCCAGCTCTGTTCTTGGTCTTTCAGAAATGTCGGTCCGTGGAAGCAGGCTCCTGTAAATGTCACAGAAGTAGACTCCAAATCCTAAGAAATGAGAAGTTTCCTCTCAGACTTAGTTCCTATATACTTACCCGCCTGTCCTAGGCACCCATTTGCATAAACAGTTATACACTTCCCTATGCATAGAAACCCAGTGCTTCAACTTATGGGTCAGTACGATGTGGGTTTTTTTGTTTTTTGTTTTCGTTTTGCTTTGAGTCACTGAGACTTCATTGGCCAGTCTGTGTGACAGACCTTTGCTGACTGCCTCTGACTGGTGTAGCCCTTTGAGGCCTGCTCTCACCTTGACTCAGCCCACCCACCATTCCTCCTCTGCAGGGAACAGCTTCTCTTACTGGGAATTGAGGGGGCCCCATAAACAGGTATCTCCCCTTACCTGACCTCTGAATCACGGAGGTAGTTCGAGGCACCTCTGAGTTAATGGAATATCAGCTTCATCACTAGCCAAACTGACAGTGGAGAGCTTGGCTTAGATGCATGGTCACATCCCCCAGTAGGACAGACTGACTTCCCAACACAGGCTTTGCCGGACCATTCCCACTGTCCCCACGTCTGCGCCGAGCCTGCTTGGGGACGTGGAAGAGAATGCAGGTTTCCTGCTGGCAGCCGGGGCCCTGAGAGGAAAGGACTTCTCAGTAGCTTCTTTCAACCTCACCGATCGGACCTGGGAACAGTGCAGACAGAGTGAGGAGAAGTCAGGGTTATGAAGTGGGAAAAACACCTGCCCAGCAGTGCAAGCCACACCAGAGCCACACAAATGGCAGGGTCCCCCTCTGTCATGACACCCTTTCTCCACGTCACTCAACCCTGGCCGACAGCATGAGTTCCGGGGTTGAAGGCCAACTTGTAGCTGCCTGGGGTAGCTCCTTGGACAGGGATAAGAGGGTGGAGAGGGGACCTTGGCAGTCTGTTACAACGTTTTCCTGCACCGAGAGGCTTAGTATCATGGTGATTAAGGACTTGGCTTCTTGGAGTCAGTCCTGGCTCTGTTCCTAATTTCTTTATCTATACTACAGAGATAATACTTAAACTTACTGGGTTTTTTTTTTTTGGTATGGATTAAATGAAATAATTTACAACACAGGGCTTACATAGTATCTGACACATAGTAATTGCTTAATGAACACTTACTCTTTTAAAAAAGTATCTACTCTTGAATCAAACAGGGTATAACACCAACAGCATTGTGCTTTTGTAGAACACCTTTGGTTCCCTTTTCTTATTTATTCAATGACAACTTGGCTCACATCTACTTGTCCCTCATCTGGGGACCCTGAGCATGGTGCTGGGGTCACACAGTAGCTGTTGGGTGAGGTAATTCCACCAGCGAGTTCCCTGCTGACTCAGAGCTGAGCTCCCTGGAATCAGGGAAGGAGTAGGTGTGTTAGGGAAACAGAAGGCGGTGACGGTGAGATGGAAGCTCAGTCATGGGGATGGGGAGAACTGGGGCCTTGGGGGCAGGGAAAGAGGGTCCTAGGAGATCAGAAGTGGACATGGGAAAGGAGATGGAGGCAGCCAAAGAGAAGCTCCTCCAATGGTACCATTTTTTTCCATGCAGAGGGATCTAGGGGTTTGTGGACAGACTCCCTGGTCATGAGGACAGTCCCTTTCCCTCCCTCCCTCACGCTCTCCCTTCCTCCTTCGTTCTCTCTCTCTCTCTCTCTCTGCCTCTCAAACGCCCAAACCTCCTGATTACATTAGGCTTCAGCCTTGGATCTGGCCCCTGCATTTTTCAGGCAACGAGAGCAAATCCTGACTGTGTTGTGATGTTCTTTTTGACAAAACCGCCTTTTAGGTAAATACTTTTTGGGCCAATCTCACTGAATTAACTATCTGGGTCATTTGAATTTCTTCTCCAGGAAATAATTATGGCCTTTGGGAAATGTAAAGTGTGCTGCAGTCCTGTGAATGCAGAGAAAGTGCCAGCCTCCCTCTCCCCCTGCCACCTCCTTCCACTTCTGTGTGACCCAGGGAATGAAATTAGCCACGAGTCCCATCTCTGGGGTCCAGTGTGGCTTTGGATCTCTCTGGGGGAAGTCCCTGGGGCACTGGAGGCAGCTCTGCACATGAAGAAGATCATGTTCATGTTCTTTTCCATGTGTGAGAGCTGTGACTTCCTTCCAGGCAGCTCGATTTGTTTTTTGAAAAATAACATTCTGCAGATTCCGTCTCCAATTCGGGAAGGTGAAATACAGCAGGAGGGAGGGCCGTTATCGTGCCATACACTGCGGGGAGGACTAACGCTTGTTTCACGGCACCACGGCACCAAGAGAGCTCTCCGACTTGAGTTGGGAAGTGGGTTGCTGGTGGGGACAGCAGTGTAGCTTTGATGGTAGCGACAAGGAACGCTGTGGTGGAAGAAACTGCCAGCCCCTTCTCTGGCTGGGGGATGCAGAAGCCAGCTTCAACAGGAGAGTGGGTCCTCTTCGCCATGAAAATGTAAGATGAAGAGGCAGTGTCGTCCTAGGGGAAGAGTGTCTGAACAAGGCTGGCTCTTCCCGACACCCCTTGGGGAGAGAGCTGGCAGGAGGGAATATGGCAGGGATGTTTGCAAAGGCCCTTCTGCTCATTTGCTAGGACGGCCAGAGCAAAGTACTGCAGACTGGGTGGCTTCAACACAGAAATGTATTTCCTTACAGTTCTGGAGGCCAAAAGTCTGAGGAAAAGGCGTCATCAGGGCTGCTCTCTTCTGAGGCCGCTCTGTCTGCCATCAACCGTCTTTCCTCTGTGCATGTCTGTGGTCTCATCTCCTCTTCTTATAAGGACACCACCGGTCATACTAAGGTAGGGCCTGTCAGATGGCCCCATTTTACCACACCACCTCTTTAAAGGCCCTATCTCTCAAAAAGGCCATGTGATGGGGAGCCACAAACCGAGCAGGGGCTTGTGTAAGGGAGGCCTCTGTGCTCAAGCTGTACCAGCTGCAGATGGCATGTTTGCAGCCTCCGGTCACAGGGCTGTGTATGTGGAGCTAGGCTGCAGCCTGCGTGGTGGGCTCTGTGGCCCTGACTCCAGTGGAGGAGCATCCATTCAACCCCGCAGGACCA